TAATAAATAAGAATACGTCTAATAATTTAAAAAAGCCATAGAGTCATAGAGGGCCCTGGGAATGAGTCCTGATAATGACATAAGGTCTGTGGTTAACACAAGCTTAAGAGACTTTCAAATTTTATTTTACCACATAAAATATGTCAGTAAATGCCCAACTCGTGAATTGTGAAGCTTTTATGTATCTTAAAAACAACGGTTGCTACCAAGTTGCTAAATGAGACTACAGAACATCCTCACACTGAATGCAGCTTTACAGCCTTGTTTTGGTAGGGATGTTAAATCATGTGACTGTAGTTAGTTTATAGCCTAAAATTAGCTTTTGAATTCTGGTGATTGCATTTAGGCTTCAAAAGTCATAAAAGAGGTACCCATTGGTGGAGATTGTCTTGCTGAACAAAACTTATAAGTATCATAAATGCTTGTTTCCCACAAAGTTTATTTTCTGCAATAATCCAAAATCCAAAAGAAAATCACAAAGGCTTTTTGATGAGGGAATCCGTGTGATGCTAACTTTCGCACTGGCCTATATAATACACATTTCAACTTGTATATTTATTAGTAACAACTACTAATATTTTTAACATCACAATTCATAATTAATAAAAAAGTTTTAAAAAGTACCAAAAAACGTTTTAAGGGTAAATAAGGTACCAGAGTGCATGAATATGCATCAAAACTGAGCTTGTTTATAAAAAGAATAGAAATAACAAAATACACCCCCTGCAGGAGTCTGGGCTGGGCCCCCTATGTCCTCAAACCCTACAAACGCCCCTGCTCTCAGTTTCAGTGTCCTGAATGAGGCATTGTAAATCTTCACCTTGATAGGACGTAAGTTTTGTAGAAAACATTGATTTTTATTTTTTTTTAATGTTTTGGCATTCAAGTTGGCAAACTTACTTTTTTATGAGACCTCAATAATCCAAAAATGTTGGCCACATTATTTGAGGTTGGAGTGACTGGTGTGGATAAAATCCTACATCATTTGATATTGTGACTGATACCAGGATACTGACGTTTTGTATACTGGAGTTTTTGTGGGTTTCATCAAACTAAAGGCAGATGACAAATAAAAAAAGGTATTGTGGAATGGGCTTTGATGCTGCATTGAGACCTCCATGTTGGTTAATAAATCTGAAAGAAAATCTGCTTAAGTACTTAATCAAATATCCAAAATAATGAATACAATTTGTTGATTTTATTGTTGGTGGAAAACTTGTTTTGGGGGGGTGTCAGGAGGACCCATTCATCTAAAGTCATGGTTATAGCCCTTACCATGATATCAGTTTGTACCAACATACTGTGTTTTTATTTTACTGAGAAATAAAAATACCTGTTTATGGCAACAATTTACATATCCAAATGTGTCACCAACTTGTGATGAATGTCATTCCTCAGAGGCAACTCTTTCGCATGTCGCATGCGCTGAGGTTGCATCTTTTTGGTCTGATGACTTCAACAACATCTCAGAAATGATTAATAATTCGCCAGAACCTATATTAATCATTCTTGGTGTATCTGAAGCATTAAGACAATTCACCACTGTCAAACAACAAAAATGTCCCTTACTGTATCATTGCACCAAAAATCTGCTACTCATGTCATGGAAAGGAACAGGAGTTTTGCAATATGTGGCTACATGATCTAACCAGTACACTACATTTGGGAAGGATAACATATGTCTTAAAGGGCAGACTCCTTCAGAATATCACAATTTGGCAACCTCCCCTATGACAAAGTGCCATTCCATTGTTTTGTCTTGTTTCCATTACTATTTCCTGCACTTATTATTTCAAAATGTTTTAATGTAAATTAACATGAGCACAGCACTACAATATGATATATGTACTTCCATCTTTGACTCAATAAAAATTCTTGAAGACAATTTATAAAATACCTACAATTTGTATGCATCTTTATTTCCAACTCTGGCATTATTGAGAAAATCCTATGAGTCTTTAACAATGTGACAAACTCAATTAGTTTAGTACAGCCAGCATGATTTGCTTCGACCTCAAAAAGCTTATTAAGGTTAAACCAACTTAATATTAAACCAAAAGTCATGGTGATACTTAGTGGTCAAATTATTTTATTTAAGATATTCCAACTTGTTATTTTATTTCAAACTTACCCAAAAACGTCAAAAATGTTTTGGATTTTGACCAAGTTCTTAAAGTATGTGGTCAGCTGACTAAGACACTTTAATGTAACCAATGCAGTTTCTCATCATCCACTAACCCCATGAAGCATTTTAAGTGTGTTAGGTACCACAATGTAAACAGCATGACAAAACCTCTGACAGTGGACACATTTATATCATTTTACAGTATATACCATCATATCATCCAGACCTAATATGAACTTGGCAAGCATTATAAAATCAAATACTGATACCAAATTCATACCAAAACTAGGGTTTCCTAAAATTGTTGCAACCAAACCTCATAGATCAATGTTAAAATTTTAGAAGGTGAAAAAATATAGAACTACATTCAGAATAATTTACTTGACATTTAGCTCATATGTAGTCCTTGCTTGATCATTAGTATTAGTTTAAAATGATCCTGGCACAATGTAGCGAATTCTCACAATGGATCCTGAATTAATTGTTTTAATGTGAAATCTGTTCACAACAGTTTAAACCTTTTTGTTTAGAGTTACTAAACTTTTTATGATGAAACTTTGCCTTTTTTATATACAGTAATATGTCATAGTGAGTGGTATGAATCTGATGGAAGTGTATGTATAAAGCTTAAATAATGGTATCCTGGTGTTGGTGATGGTCTGCCTTTTGATTCTCTGTCTTGCATCTTTTTATCTCCCAGCACTGAAGATGTGAGTCTACTGCCCCTATGTAAAAAAAGAAAAAGCGTGTGTGTCTGTGTGTGTGTGTGTGTGTGTNGGGGGGGGGGGGGGGGGTCTGGCTGAAGTGTAATTAATTCAGTTTTACCTTTTTAAATAAATGTACCATAGATGAATTAAATATTGGACTATTTTAACCAGCGCGGATCTGCCTTAACACTCTTGATACTGTTGTTAATTAGCATATTGTGAGTTTTCTCCTCCTCTGCTAAGAATATTGTGAACACATATTACTGAGAATGTTCCAAAATATAGTCCAGACCTCGGCCTACATTTACATAAATCATCTTTAAATCCTGTGTAAACGTGTTCTTCTTCATCATCATACTAGGAAGCGACTTAAACCAGTGGAACAAGCCAGTCTCGCTCTTCTGATACAAATACATACAAACTGATATTTTTTTTCCCCTTAATCTTACACTCCCACCTAATATCATATTTCATACACGCCCGCAGAAATGCCCGTTGCCGCTATGTTTAATGTATAAACCCAGTCTTATAGCAGATAGAAAACGCAGATGATAAATATGCATGTATTCAATTAAGGGTATTACAGAGGAGTTGATTTGCATAAGGATTTAGGAGCTTAACATCATATTTGTGCTATAAAACTTCACAATAGCCTAAACGAGAGCTGTTACGCACGGGAGGGGGCAGGACAGGTATTTGTGAAAGAAGCGAGGAAAAGAAAAGGAATTCAAAATATCAAGCAAACTGAAAATAATAATAATTCTGATATTGTTTAAGCGCATAAATTTACAGCTATAACATGATTCTGGTATATAAAAAGTCAGGAGGTTGGATGGCTGGATGGATTTCGTTTTAATGATTAACTAACTGCTTAAATTGACTTCAGTTTCAAACAACAAAAGCCAGAGCGGTGATGTGATAACGTGTAATTTTCTCCCACACCGCTGTAACTACCGTCTTTTGTGCAAGATCAAACCTCTCCTACTGTCCTCAAACACGTCCTCTGATGACGACGTCCACTTTTCCCCTCCCAATTAAGAGCAGAGAGCTAATTAGAACAGAGCGGATCCGGGATCAGTTCAGCCTCACGCTGCAGCCCCCGCTGCTGAACCAAACTGCTCGCTCTGTCTGTGGTGGGAATACAAGACTGAAGCCGCTGGATAACAAATGACATCAAATGACAGAGTGGGGTTCACGAGATGAAGCTCGTTCTGTTGAATAAATAAATAAATAGAATCACTGACGCTTAAATGTAGAGATGACAAGGAGTGGTGCCAAAATGATTTTTACAACACTAAGTTGACCAATCCTATTAATGGCAGTGTTGCGACACACCTCCCGCCCTTATCAATAAAAAAAACTCTGTTTAATTTTGGGGCTTGATGTTCTGTTGTCTTGATTTGATTTTATTATCTCTGGAGAAAGGTGACATTTAATAATGTCATTCTAAGGGCCGCGCCTTTAGACCTTACCACAAATAGCTTTAGTAGCTAAAATAAGTTCAGTTGAAATTAGCCCAATTTACCTTTCACAGAATATAGGTCAAATGTGGCATTACATGAATAAGTCAAAGTTGTGGATACAGTTAATGAGAAGCTAAATTATCTTTAGTTTCAAGTAAAAGTGTTTTCATGGATTGTTTTGTGGCTCTATTGTTTGTCCTTTTTAAACAACAAAAACAACAAAAGTCGGATTAAAAAGCGAAACGCAGTTTCTTTATTTTATGGCTGGTTTGGGATACTTCATGCCATTTTGCTCACCCCTGCAGGTTCTATGCAGAGCCTTTTGGTGTCATGGAGAGGCTGTGAGCAGCAACAGTGTGGTGCTGTGTGGAACCCTATCTGTGCGTCACTTGAGTAAAGGTCCCAGTAGACCTACTCAGTACACACAGACAGATGAACAGACAGACAGCTCCAACACCTCAGAAGACCGAAGACGGGGAGATCCTGCTCTGACTCCTCTTCTCTTTCTTTCAAACTGACCTTTCAAACTGCAGCTACGGACAGACAGATAAGTCCGTGCGTAAGGGAGGCAGAGAGGCGCTGCTGCTTTTTCAAACCGATCGGTAAAAGTATGGCCAAACAGTTCGGTGACGGCAGAACAGCCAATGAACATAAATGGTGCGTCGTGACGCAACAGGGCCCCGTTGATAAGGAGCGGAGGGTCCAACCGGGACCTGAGAAGGAGGAACGGCAGTTTTGGAGGGCCAGCAAACACTCGCCTATCATCAGTCAACGTAGAGCCAACTCCTCCTCTTCTGCTGTTACGCACATGTATGCAGCCTACTTGGCAAAAGACAAACATTAACCAAACAGACTACTGTAAAGGAAAACTGCTTCTCCCAGACGACCAGCGGGATTCTATAAAGCAAAGACTGTGTGCTGCTATGTTTTCTCATTTTCTCTTAAAAGCAAAAGTAATTTGAGCGACATTAATCCGCTGCAGTAAGCACCAACTTGGACTGTTGAACCTGGAGGAGAGGAGGAAGCTCCCTGTCAGCTTTTTTGGACATATCTTTTTTTGTTATTTCTGACTGATGCATTAGAAGGCTGCTACCCGGTGTTGGCAGTGCCAGTTGCACAGAGTTACTTATTGTTCTGCAGAAAAAGGGGAGACATTTGCCAATGCCTTGCAAACAGTCGAAATCCTGAAATATTACTCCCGGCGAGGAGGAGGCATCGGTGCTGAGACCCATGCAGCGGAGGCTTCCATAGTTGGTATGTTTTTTCATCGTAAATGGAAAAGAATATCTAGAAAGAGAGATTGGTAGTAAAAAAGAAATAACACCATACCTGAGAGAAAATTGATTCCAGTAAAAGAAGCGAAATCTGTGCGGTTATTTATGAATTAATCATAGCTTATTAATAATGAGAGCTGCAGAGATTCGGATGATGGTTTCCATTGGCAGATGAGACGTAGTGTGGAGAACACGTGTCCAATTTTCCCTCATATTTTTTCCTCCCTGATCTGGATTTCTCACTTGTCACGGCAAGAAAGGAAACCCTTCAAAAAAGCGAGAATTTCAAGTGGCATTATTGAGCTGGGTTTTGCCTCTGATGGACATCTTGGCTTGCAAACCCGAAGAGAACAGTTATAATATCCTCCCCTCTGCGGCAACGATGCTTTTCCATGGCCTCCCTGGAGGCGACGTACACGGTGTGGTGGAAGAAATGGACCGGAGAGGAAAGAGCGAGTCAGCAGCCATCAGCTCGGCCATCGATATGGGGGAATCAGAGACGGTAGGAGAGATTCATTTGGCCCTCTCGGCTTGTTAGCGCAGGCAGCATGGCATCCTAGAAACATGTGACAGTGGCTGCATTCTCACAGCTCCAAGCACCTTGATTCATTTTTTAACAACAAAAAAAAACTGTTCAACAAATACTCCAGCTTATTTTTAGTTAATTTTTAAACGCCTCTCAAAGTTCCTCCAAAGGCCTGAAGGTTGTGATTTCTTCAGCCACTGTTTAACCCAAAACTTCTTTTAGTTCCAGCAAAGCTTCAACCAAACGGACACAGAGCTAAAATTATTCAAAAAACAAAACGATCACATTTATTTTAAAAACTCAGCTATTCATTTCTTTAAGTGTGCCTTTTATGATGCGTGACAACACAGGCAAATTGGTGGTGGTTCACAAGCCAAAGTAAATGCATATTTTTGCACCGGCAATTTAGCACAAACAATAACAGCAGTTCAAAGTGTTTTTACTCTAATTTGGAAAATCGACATGTAGCTTTAGATTCTGTTTATTTGCTATTTTGTGAACACATTACAATTCAATGAAATTGCATACATGTAATGATTAGAAAGTTCAATTTTAAAAAAAAAACTGAAATGCGCTGCAATGAAAATTCAGAAAAGTGGAGAAAATCTTAATTTTAACCCAGCTTCCATTTTCAGTTGCAAAGTATTTGTGAATTGTATGCGTTTGTGTGCGTGCACATGTGTTTGTGTCTATTTTGCAGGCCTCTTGAAAATAGCAATTCATGACAGTCCTGTGTCATAAACCTGTTTTTTTTTTGTACCTTAAATCATTTTTTTTTTTTTTGAGAAATTAACAGCACATATAACTGATGCCCTCCACTAAAAATAATATTTCCATAAGACCATACACAGCGTGTTATTGGCTCTTAATAGTAACTTTACAAATTACTTTATTTTTGTTCTTTAATCTGCTGCTGTGGGATGGTACTATCAGACATACAGTCATATTACAATGGCCTTATCATACCTTATCTCCTCTGGTAACAGAGTAATTTATATTCATAACTTTCGAGTATTTTTAGCCTACTTTTTCTCTATTGTAACAAAATATTCCTATGCTTTTTAAAAAATTAATTAATTAATTTATTTCTTACATTGTGGTTGTAGAGCCGTTGTCTTTTTCTGACTGGATTGTGTTTTAATATCATGATTTTATTCACGTTTAGTATTATCGAAGTTGTTGTTGTTTTAAACTACCTTTTATGTTTCTTCATAAAAGTTGTAAAATCATCCCACATTTGAGTGGTGGATGTGGTCATTTTAAGTCTTTAATATTCTTATCATAAAGCGAACAGAACAGTTATCTGACTTGTTAGGCTTTTATTTGATTTCCTCCCCCATGTTAGCTTGACTACATGTTTCAGGGTGTACAGAATCTTGTTTTTCTCACCAAAATCATGTCCTGACGCTGTGTCCTCGTGCCTCTCTCCCGTGTTTACCTGCAGTCCATGCCGTGTATGAACAGCGAGCGCGTGGCTCTGTGCGCGGGCTGCGGCAGGAAGATCGCGGACCGCTATTACCTGCTGGCAGTGGACAAACAGTGGCACATGCGCTGCCTCAAGTGCTGCGAGTGCAAACTCAACCTGGAGTCTGAGCTCACCTGCTTCAGCAAGGACGGCAGCATCTACTGCAAGGAGGACTACTATAGGTAGGAGGGCGTGCAGCGCCTGGAGCTCCACAGTCCAGCCAAAAGTGTCCGGGATACACCGCTGTGTAGGATTTCTTAAGTGACAGTATGTGTTTCAAAATATGGTGGTTGGTGAAAATACTTTTTTTTTTAAGTTAAGCTAGATTAACACCACACATGACCAAGGATGGAACATTAAAAAAAGGCTGACTGAAATGTAAAAATGTCAGTAACATGTTTCTTGAAATTTCAGTTTCATTTAAAAAAAGAAAGCACGATCTACATTTTTGCTTTTCTCACAGCTTCTATCTTTGTAATAAGGGTTTGTAAAAACTGATACTGACATTTTCCCACTAATGACAGCTTATATTTTTTGTAATGTAATTCCATTTCATTTCAATATAATTCACGTGTTTCTCGCAGGACCTGGCTATACATATTTCATTCATTTACAATATCACCAAGTTGATGCAGGCTATCTGTCTAATTCACCTGATTAGTGCGCGGGAAAAGTTAAGCCATTGGTTTTTGAGTGCATGAAAGTCCGAGTGCTTCGAATAATTAAGCGCCACAGATAGTTTATCCAGCCTGGCCCACACTAACACAGCAGCAGGCCTGCCAGGCTCGGTGTCCAGCCGCTGATGAGGTTTCTGTGTTGTCCGCAGAAGATTTTCGGTGCAGAGATGCGCTCGGTGCCACCTGGGGATCTCTGCCTCGGAGATGGTGATGAGGGCCAGAGACCTGGTCTACCACCTCAACTGCTTCACGTGCACCACCTGCAGCAAGATGCTCACAACTGGGGACCACTTTGGCATGAAGGACAGTCTAGTGTACTGTCGGCTGCACTTTGAGACTCTCATCCAGGGAGAATATCAGACACATTTTAACCACGCGGACGTTGTCCCACACAAAGGCCTGGGCCCGGCCAACACGCTCGGACTATCCTACTTCAATGGCGTGGGGACAGTGCAGAAAGGCCGGCCCAGGAAGAGGAAAAGCCCCGGGCCGGGCGCCGAGCTGGCCGCTTATAATGCAGGTAAGAAGGAGATTTATAAAGGCATTCAAAACCAAGCATGTTCACCTACTGTTGCGTGATGATATTGTTCATAAAATATGGACAGAGTTCAGGAAAAAGCTGTCGTGGCTACTTTTTTTAAAAAAATAAATGCATAAAATTAATGTCTATTTCGTACTTTATCCTGTTTTGATGCCGAGTTTAGGCCTACATCAAAATATTTAAAAACAAAACAAAACAAAACAAATCGCTGCTTAGTACAAACTAAATCTCACTCCACTGTTTTAATGAACAGCGACCCAACGTGAGCTGATTAAGACCGACAGGCTTCATTAATGAAAAATCTTTGTAACATTCCTATAGGGGTTATATTGTCTCTGCGCTCTCCCCGGTAATGACTTCATCATAACTTCATCACTGAAAACTTTACAGTGTGTCTTTCATTCCCTGCGGTTTCATATCCCTTTAATATTTCTATAGGGAGTTTATATTGGTAGGCCTGGTTTTAAACAGGTCTGGGTGTCACTGTAATATATATTTAACACCCCTAAAGAGACTTATTGTGCTAAATATTGAGTTTATAGCGGCCTCAGCGCATTGTGTATTTTTTTATATGATCTTCCTTTTGGAAGTTAGTTTGCTTGTGTGCGCTTTTGTGTTATTTGAGGATCTTTCACATTATGATAGTCTCCACTGAGCTAAGGATTTCTGTCAGAAACAACAGCAGCATGTTCATGATGAGGCCAAACATTTTGCTTGAATAAGCCTGAATACCAACTAATGCACAAAGAGGAAAGCATGCAGGCCAAGTATGAGGCCAGGCAGGACGAAAGCAAAGCTATGTACAGAGGAGAACAGTGAATATACTGTCAGATGGGAGGAAAAAAAGGGGGTTTTTCAGTGAGAGGTTTGTCAATAAAGTAGGGCTTCTAACATGAATACATTTAGGTCATAGTTAATTTTTTTTGCAAACACTTCAAAGCTCCAGTGTGTGGATTAAACTTTTCATGCAGCTCCATATAGATTTCATTGGGTCAGTGAGCTACAGCAATTCTTAAACTTGCATGTAGTCAAGGTCTTTCTGAATGGTCATCTAGAAAATAATCATTTTTCATTGTTGGTGGTTTGTAGTCATGTTTCAGTTCAGTCAATCTGTCATAAAAAGAAGACTTTTAATGCTTTCGCTCTTTTCCACTTGTTAGACTCCATAGACATCTACAGACCCTAACACCGCCCCTGCCACACACACACACACACACACACTACTGGGGCCTTTTTGCATTGAAGCTGGGTCAAACTGGGTGTGTACCAGAGAGATCAATGTGATGTGATGAGTTATTCACTGGAACAGAGAGCAGGGAACACAAGAACATTCAGCAGAACTATCTGGAATCTCATTTATGTGGCTTTTACATTAATTCATTAATATTTGAACTGAATAGATTCAAATGTTCATATAAAAAGAAAGTTGATAACAAACTAAATAAAGGAGTCTGTTTTGTTAATTGTTTCGCAAAACTTTTTTTTGTTTTGGTTTGTTTTACACTTAAGTCAGTTAAGCTTAAATAATGTGCAACATGATTTATCGGGTTAGTGGATAATGCTAAATATAACTTTTTCAGCATAAAAAAATAGGTTTGTAACATTACAGTATTTTAGGAAGTTGGTCAAAATCATGAACATTTGTGAAATTTTTGAAACGGATGAATTAAAATAAATGAGTTAGAATATGTTAAATAAAATTTGACTATTAAACATCACACAACGTTTGGATAGACATTAATTTGGTTCAACTTAATTAAGCTTTTTGAGGTCAAGGCAAGTCATGTTGGTTTTACTAAAATAATTGAGTTTCTCAGGTTCTAAAAGACTTTTAGGACTGATACATTAATGCCAGAGTTGGAGCTATAACAATGCATGCAAATCATTACCTTATCTATTTATTTATTTATTTTAATTTGAAGCAGTAGATTCTTTACTTTCCAATCCAAATCAGCTTATTTCCCTTTTCCCTCCTGGATCAAGTTATTCTATTTTTTTGTTATTATTATTATTATTATTAATAGTAGTAGTAGTAGTATCATTATTATTTATTAATCATTGTAATTTCTGATACAAGCAAAGCTGCTTTTAAAACAAGTCAAATGATCTCACCTATCAGTGATGGACTTTGCTTTTAGAAAATACAATCTTTCAGAAAATGTAAGAACACAACATTTCATCATAATGATAAAAGGAAGAAACTAGGGAAAAAAGCTCTTTTTTTATTGTGGTATTTAGTAAATACATTAAAGAAAATGAATTAGAATTAGAATTAGGAGAGTTAAAGAGGCAGTGCGCCCTCTCCTGTTTACAGCCAGAAACAACATCCACGCCTCACCTGAACAATCACATGAGAACATGTGGCAACCTGGAGGAGCCTGAAGCTCTGAGATTGTATTAACACTGCGAATAAGACATTGTGTATGAGGACAAAGAGACAAGCACGAAACAGGCTGCTTTTTTGTTAAAATGCTGCAGCATATGCTTTGGCCAAAAAGCAGCATTTGTTCTGCCTGGTGTGTATGGGCTAATTAAGTGAAGTGTTATTCTGATGGTTTTCACTCACTTCATATTCATCATTTGCGTTCTGATATTGAACACGAACTGTTATGCATGCAGCAACACTTTGATTATTGCCAAGAAATTTGCAGGCTGGGACACATGCATGTGTGTTGTTGTTGTTGTTGTTGTGTGTGTGTGTGTGTGAGTGTTTGTGTGTGTGTTGAAGCTAGGCTAGCACCTCCTCCTAGGATGGAATCCCATGTAGACGGGGACAGACAGAAAGACAGACAGCCGAGGTGTGGAGTGGAAGGTGATCTGCAGCTGGAGGAAACAGCTGTCAGGTCACAGCGTCTCCTCGGATCAGATTGATTTTATGGATTTAAATGAAGAGAAAGAATCCAGATTGACATTACCACATTTTTCTAAAATGTTAAAAAGCAAGATGTACAATAACAAAAAAAAGCTAAAAACAATTTTTAACAGCAAAATTGTGGCCTCAATCACCTTAAAATCTTTCTTTCTTTCTTTCTTTCTTTCTTTCTTTCTTTCTTTCCACGTTTGATATAATGCACCTAAATGTGGAGTCGCTTACATACACAGTTTTGGGACATTTCTTGATTGCCGTAGGAGATTAATAGGTTTTTCAGCTATGTATTACTGATAACTACACTCACCAGTAAAAGGCATAATAACATGCATCTATATGATGCATTTTGGAGCTGCCTCTGTGCTCTCAAAAATGGAATTTTTAGAATAAAAATGGGGTGAGAAAAAGAAAGTAGTCCCTACAGTGCTCAATGCAAAACAGCCAATCTGAAGTGAAGGACTAAACAAATCTCAGTGATGATGATTGGTGATTGGATCAGAGTCCCCTCTCTCTAACCAGCTGCTCTCTCCTGTTCCCTGTAGCGCTGAGCTGTAACGAGAACGATGGCGAGTCCATGGATCGGGACTCTCAGTACAGCTCCAGTCAGAAGACCAAGCGCATGCGGACATCCTTCAAGCACCACCAGCTGAGGACCATGAAGTCCTACTTTGCCATCAACCACAACCCAGACGCCAAGGACCTCAAGCAGCTTGCCCAGAAGACTGGCCTGACCAAGCGGGTCTTACAGGTAACCACAGCAGCCTCTCACTTCAGATGACACCACAATCTGTTTCCTTTGCTTCACCAGGGAGAAGGAGACAAATGCCAACAGGAGTGAAGGAATTTTACATGTTTCCAATGAAAATCAGCCTGCTTCCAAGTGTAAAATATATGACGTAGGTTTTCCCGAAAGAAGCCAAATCAGCTGCTCTTTTTGAAGATAGTGCTGTTTTTCATTCTAGTGAAATGCTTGGAAAACAACCTGAAGAGAATCATAAATAGATTGTCTTGTTCCCTTTTCCTTCTTATTTTAATAAAAACACAATAAGAAAAATAAATAATTCAGGGTTCCCACAGTTTTGGAAAACCTGGAAAAGTCATGGAATTAGTAAAAATCATTGAAAGCTTTGGACATGTCATGAGATTTTCTTGTGTGTAATGAAATTGTTACAGTAATCTTAAGTGGATAATGGATAACGTAACATAATAGCAAGTGTATTTTCGTTGGCTGTTGATGTAATGTAGTGTTATGTGTGACAGCGTTTTGTTTACCATCACATATGTTTGTTCTTTTTTTTTGTTGTTCATTCTCTCCCTTCATGTATGTCAGGTACTGAAATGATGCGTAAATAGAGTTTGAAACTGATATGTTTAAAAACACCTGGCAAGTGGGGCAAGAAATGGAAAAAAAGTATCGAACAGTCATGGAAATGATTTGAAATTGTGTCCATGAAAATGCTGGGAACCCTGTAAATTCATTTAAAAAGCTCCACTAGAAAGAAGCACAGTTTTTAATTTTCCTCAAGGAAAAACAAAGTCAAAGTGTTTTCATATTGCATGATTACCTGGAAATTAAAAGAAAGGCATAACAAAAGAAAACAAACAAAAAACAAAAAAACAAAAACAAATGTAATCTATTTAAGTGGACGATGTGATGTTATGTTGAGGACTGAGGGATGAAAAACAAAAAGCTCTGTAGTACACACGAAGAAAGAGGAAGCACAATAGAGCGTTTGATTTCCACAAAAGACGACAGCAAATTATCTGGGGGACTGAGAGGAAGAAAAATGAGACAAAAAGGTTTCTGAATCAAATTTTTTCTGAGAAGGGAAAAAAAAATCATCCTGCTGCTTTAATTAACGCTTGCAGAAAACAAAGCAGTCGTTTTGCTTTGATGCGTTCGAGTTTTCATGCCTGTTATTCCAGCTGAAGCGCTTCTCCCTTCGCCTGTTTCCCATGGCTCCATCATGATAACAGTGCTAACACGCTCCAACACTCGGCTCAGCACAGACTGCCGGTTCACCCACTCACTCACCACATCTCAGATACACCTTTTTACTGTTGGAAAAGAGAGCAAAGATTAAATGTAGGAATATGAATACAAAAAAAAGGAAAGAAAATAGATTAACATCAGGGACAATGAGGAGCAGGATGCTTGTTCCAAAATTGAGGTGCAGTGCTTTCTTGAATGGGTTCATGAGGTCCTCAGGACAGCAACGAAGATCCGTTCATTTGTTGCCATTGCAAATATAAGCATAATGACTGAAATCATAGTTGCTTTTATCCCTGTACAAACTATAGACAGGTCCATTATTATCTTATTAAACTATCGTTGAAAACAGGAAGCAATGGCTCTCTATTTTCAAGTGCAAACATAAAAGAAAATGTTTTTTTTTTCCTGTGGCTACCACTGCCCTTTTCTCTGAGACTAGCCCTTAGCCTACATAAAGGTTGTTTTAACTTTTGCACACAGAGGAGTGCCCAAGCATTTAAATGTTCTTTTATCCTTGACTCCAGCTGAGCATCTGCAAACAGACTTTTAAAAGACATGGGGAGGTTCTCACTGGTATGGGCTCTTAACTAGTGAATGGAAGGAATGTAGTGTGGTGGTGGTGATAATTGATAATGTGGTTCTGCTTGGGGTTCTGCAACATCAAAATGTTTTAAGGATCATATCCATATTTTGCTTTGCACATTTCAGCCCTTTTGGGGCAAAATTTTTTAAATCCGCCAAACTAAACAACAAAATATGTAGTTTGTCATTGCTTTAAAAATGTCCCATACAGGCATTTTCTGATTTGATGTCTCTATCAGCAGGGTGACATAATTTTTCAGTGGGTTTCAAAACTGTTCTAGAAATTAGTCATATGGCTGCTCCTCATCTGTTATAGCTTGGGTTAAGGTTTGGTTAGGTGTAGGCACAATATGTCTTGGTTTGTGTTAAGGAGATATACAACAAAACAAAATTTAAACACAACACTTTTGTTGTTGCTTCCATTTTCCACAGTTAAAGTTAAAGTCTAATATCTGTGTTAGTGAGCACTCCTCCTTTTCCAATATAATCCATCCACCTGACAGGTGTACAGAAGAAGTATTCGTTTCCTTAATTCATCTGTATGGAAATGTACTGAAAATGATTTTGGAAAGTAAGAAAATCTACTAGTAGGCTTCAGAAAATGGTTGGCAGCTAAATGTTTGCAGTTACTGCGCCCACATATGCAAAAGCACAGGTGTGGTCAATTATTAGTAGGTGAGTGGAATTTTGTTTTGGTTGCTCACAGCATTGAAAAATTACATTTATATAATCAGTACCATCATGTCTTTTCAGAAAGGTGTCCTTATTACTCTTGATAATTGACAGACCTTGCCGTCAACGTTGAACAGCTATCATTTGAATTTCTCATTATGAAAATTGTTTACAGTGTTCTCTGGGTTATCTAGAGCAACAGGAACACTGTGGAAAAACATGCAACTGCAGATAGGAGTTTTAAAGATAATTATATGTCATTTTTCATACTGTAAGATTAACACACTATAAAAAAGAATCCACAGGTTCAACTTTTAAAAAAATCAAGGTAACAATTTGCATGCATCTTTGTAAGTAGTTCCAACTCTGGCCTTATTGTGTCAGTCCTAATCTGACAAACCCAATTAGTTAAGTATAACCAACACGATTTACTTTGACCTTGAAAAGCTTAATTAAGTTAAACCAACTTAAAATTTATCCAAAAGTTGTGGCAATGTATAGTGGTCAACTTTTATTGTTGAAGATATTCTAACTTCTAACTAATTCTAATTTCTTTTAATTCCATTCCATTCCACGGTATAAAAAATATCAGAAATTTTAAGAATATTATTAAGTGTAGAAATCTGTGGTGGAAAGTTCCATTAAGCATTAGCTCACTTTAGTAGATCACTTCTCCTGTAGTAATTGATTTTGTTATTTTATTCCCGCAGGTCTGGTTTCAAAACGCTCGGGCCAAGTTCAGGAGGAACCTGCTGCGGCAGGAGAGCACTGGGGTGGACAAGGCATCCGATGGCTCCACACTGCAGGGTGGGACGCCATCAGGCCCGGCCTCGGAAATCTCCAATGCCTCCATGAGCCCCTCCAGTACCCCCACCACCCTGACAGACTTGACCAACCCCACCATGCCCACTGTCACCTCCGTACTCACTTCGGTGCCGGGTGGCATGGACGTCCACGAGTGCAGGAGTCCGTCACAGACCACACTGACCAGCCTGTTCTGATGGACAGAGTCCTTCACCACAGCCTCAGCCCTACCCTGTCCCCTCTCACCTCTGCTCCACCTCACTGGATCTAAAACTGAGCACTGTTGACTCCTTCAAACATTAAACGGATTAGGAAAGAAAAGGTAACAGAAACATAAAAAAAAAAAAAAAAAAAGATTTCATTTTGCTCTGAGCCCATTAGAGACTATTTGCATAGTGAGGCGGCCAAGCCTTACAGATGGAACAGTTGTTGTTATTTTGATGTTGTTGTCTTGTTGAGAACTGAGGAGACTTGATTTGCATTTTTCAATGTTTACAGAAAGAGACTGCGGGAAAAAGAATCTGCTTAATTTTTAATTAATTCATTTTTTTCCAGCACAGTATTTATGTTGTTGTACAAGAGTCACTGTTAGAGGGATTGTAAAAAAAAAAAAATCTTTTTTTTGAAATTCTGAGATTAAACACAGGTTACAATATCCTACGACTGCAATGTGCCTTACAGTCCATTTTATCCCAACTGCTGTTCTCAGTAGTCGGCCACAATCTGACACCAACAATTTATACCTCTTTTGCTTGTGCGTGTGTGTGTTATGGTTAGTTTCCTTTTGTGTTTGTGTATTTTATGCACAGTGATATACATTCTGCTGTGCTTTGATTTCAAATGTTACATTTCATGATTCAACTTGAGTTAGAACAAACTTACTATCCTCCTCATCATGCTTTAACCTACTAGAATCCTCTGTCTTACGTTGTCAAAAAGAGAATTTAAAGAGAGCTCAGACCTGCTGTAAATGAGGACACAATGGGCCTCATACAGCAACATTGTCTTAAATTTCTCCCATATCTCCACCTTATTTCTGTTCTGACAAAAAATAAGAGACATCAACTCCAGATGCACCAAACATTCTTAACCATCCAAATGTGCTCTTACCCAGGTGTGCTGAATGATGATCATAAGAAACTTTAAATTATTACTGGCAACATCCCCATAACACTATATAAGGACAGGTGTTGTGTCATGTGCAAAGACTCTGGCACATGAATTAGAGAGATGCCACCGAAAAAGGCCGTAAAAAGAAAAAGAATTTGTGCAGGAGTAAAACTGACATACTGTTAAATTAACTTAAATAAAGTAAATGTCACTGGTACTGGTGTTACTGGAAAATCACAATCTCAGCAATGGCAAAATATTTGCTGTGTCAGCAGAAGTGGTGAAGGAAGTATTCAGCTCCTTTACTTAAGTAAAAGTACTAATACCACACTGTAAATATACTTTATTACTGGTAAAAGTCCTGCATTAATGTACGGTCAGGGAAATGTACTGCAGTACAGTATTAAAAGTAAAAGTTCTCATGAAGGAAAGTTTAAATACATTTAATAAATCTAAATAATTAAAAGAAAAAGTAACACATGCTCATACATATATGTGAGGAGCTGGAACCATTGAATGTTTTTGCACGAAAAATGACTAAATAAAATGATTATCAAAAATTAAAAATTATCAAAATAGATGCCATTTAATTTTGATTTTGAATAGACTAATAGTTTCAGCTGCACTTGAATATCTTCATAGGGTTTGTGTGCAAAAAATCTTGATTTGTAAAGTAATTGCAGTTATCAAATAATTGTGGTGGAGTAAAAAGTAAAATATTTTCCTCTGAAGTGTAGTGGAGTCAAAGTCGAAAGTGGCATGAGATTAAAATACATAAGCAAAGTTAAAGTACTTCAGGTTTGTACTTAAGTACAGTACTTGTGTAAATGTACTTAGTTACATTCCAAATTACAGTACTTGGGATCAGTAGACTAAGTGTAGTAGTATTTCTTTAGTCCTCCAATATATGATACTTGTGTTTTTTCTTGCATTGGATAACAATTTGTGGACCATGAGAAGAGAATGTTTTTCTCTCCTCTTGCTCAGAGTGCTCTTTACCACTCATTAAATGTTGTCTTATTTAAGAGAAGAGCAAAAATATGAAAACACTGGTGAATCCTGCACATAAATGGATACAAACAATATAAGAACAAATTGTGGATACGAACAAATATAAGAGAAAATTTGTTCGTATATCGTTTCTTGCATGAGGCCAAGTATTAAACACCAGGTATTCTTTTAGTTTAACACAGGTCAGATGGAGAATTCTTACTTTTTCAACCAAGACGCTGGAGTAACCCTGATGATGACATTTCAGATTTGTCACATTAATCTTAGACTTTTAAAATGAATTTGCTAATGCACATTTTTCAATTCAAATCAAGACATTCGGAGGCTTTGAATAGTCTCAATTTGTCAAATTCAAACCTACACCTTCCACTGATGAGGCTTATGTAATTAGCTTGTATAGCATGCCAACAATATTCCATATCTCTGTGCATGGAAAATGTCACTGTAGACACATATAATGTGATTTTTAAAGCAAGAGAGACATATCTCTTTTAAGATGCAATACAATTATTTGATTCTCTAAAGATACAACACAATATTCAAAAAGATCTTTCATTAGTAGTAACAATCAATGTAACTATCTCACATTAACAACATTTTTCTTAAAGAAATGTTGAGTTAAAATGATTTGTCAAGTTGGATATTTTTGTGTACGATAGAAAACTGCTATGACTGGGAGGAGAGCTGCTAGTGATGCACACTGAGTAGTCCCGTACTGCTGTAATGATCTTGCGAGAGCTTCTCTTGCTGTGCGGCTTCTGCATATTCTTGTACACGTCCCTGTTGTCCTCACTTCTAGAAGAAATATAAACACTACCAATTATAAGACTATTTAAAGATAATTTGTGCCTCCAAGTGCAAGTGTTCTTCATCGACTGATGTGTACACAGTACTGTATACACACAATGGTGCACTGCTCCGATTGGTCAGAGGGATTTGGTATTATGGTGCTTCTAAACCAGAGCTATGAGTAGAAATGCAGTTAAGTACAACCACGAGGAGGCTAGGGTGCACATATATAAATCCATCATAAAACACGTCAGCAGCAGTAGAGGTGAAATCCCTCTGGTTTACATGCATTTCTACTAATTCTTCTTCTTCCTCCTCTTCTTCTTCTTCTTCTTCTTCTTCTTCTTCTTCTTCTTCTTCTACGTCTTTCATTCCTGCTCATAACCATTCAGCTGTTTAATGCACATTTAGCTTTTTTAGTTTTTTTTTATTTCAGGGTGGAAATACTACAAGTTTTTTTCACAGTTGTGTGAAGGGAAAAAGTTGGTGTGTTGACACAGAAAAGGTCTGATAAAGGTTTACAGAGACAGATTTTTCTTTCAAAAAGTTATTAAATCTGCTTCCTTTTCTTTTTTCCTTTTTCCTCCATTCCACTAAAAAGCCCTGAAATTAAAAAAGAAACATGGTAGCAGACAGCAACCACCACAGACATTCATCTTTATGATGGGAGCAAACACTAAATCCCATTTTGTTTAAATGACTTTTTTGGTCATTTTGCTTGAAATTTTTACAACATTAGGATAGAATCATACCTACTTAAACACAAACAAGTTAGCCAGTTAATTATGTTTTCATTTGCATGTCTCTTTTCATTGAAGGCAACAATTTCACTCACATTCTCTGTGAGGGCCCACTGGGCACGGCCCCGCTGCCATTTTTGCCTGTCTTCAATATTTGAGAGTGTAGAGACATAAAAGAAAAATCATGGGGGAAACCAGTGTATGACACACAACAAAGGTCCCTGGCTGTAGTTAAAATTTGCCAGTTTCAGGTTTAATTTGAGATTTAGTTTTAACATATATTTTTTAATCGCTGCAATGCAGCCTTAGGCTTCAACTACACTAAGGCTACATTAAAATTACAGGTGTCCTTTGATGGATTCCTATGCTATTTTGTATGGTGCCTTACAGATTTTGGTAGTGAGGAGTATCAGTGTGGCTTTGGTAGAATGCATCACTTAACTCACTTTACTGCTCACTACTAGCGGGGGTTTATGTATGCGTGCCAAGGGGATCCATTGTCTCATAATACACCCATGCTCTGGGTGGTCAGCGAAAGGCAATATGGGAAATGTAGTAACACAGCTTTAAAAAAATGTAAAAGCTCCATAATCGGTCCATAATAATATATATGCATATTATGGACCATTACATTCAACCCCTTTCACCAAATGTGGCACTAAAATCAGAAGAAAGGAAAAGAAATAATGCACTCCACCAGTCACTTAAAATAAGCATCTGTGCCTAAGCTGAGAGTGATAGTAGCTGACAGCCTTCCCGAAAGTGTAATCATAAAAAAATCTGTTTTCATGGGCAGCTTTTCCTCAGTCTGCCAGAGCAAAATGTTACATATTTCTCATGGCTCCAGTAGCAGGGACTTGAGCTGATCATAAAGGTAGGAAGATTTTCCACTTAAAAATATCACTTTACAATCCCTTCCAACACGGAAGTTTAACAAGGAGGTGGTGAGTGGGCGGTGGAGGGAGAGGTCTAGAGAATTGCAGTCTTTACACTTTGTAAGCAAAACATGAATTATGAAAAACAGACCTTAACTTCCCCTGCAGTGCATAATTAGAAATGGGTGTACATAAAAAACCCTCACAGCATACAGACTTGGTAATTATCTCTGCAACAGTGTGAGGAGTTTGAGGACGTGACCACTGACAAAACACACTCCATGCGACAAAACCAGTTCACTGTTTGTCTAGAATATTGACCACATCCCTACAGGTCTGCCTGCATGTTCAGTTAACAAGAATATGAAGTGTGTGTGTGTGTGTGTGTGTGTGTGTGTGTGTGTTTGGAGCCCTTACTCCAGAAAATTCAATTCAATTTCAATTTCATAAAGCCTAATATCACAAATCACAATTTGCCTCAGAGGGCTTTACAGCATACAACATCCCTCTGTCCTTATGACCCTCACAGTGGATAAGGAAAAACTCCCAAAAAAATCCCCTTTAACGCTGAAAAAAAAAAAATGGTAGAAACCTCAGGAAGAGCAACTGAGGAGGGATCCCTCTTCCAGGACAGACGTGTAATAGATGTCGTACAGAACAGATCAACATAATAAAACGGCAGTAATCCATATGACAAAATGAAACATAAAGAGAGACCGAAAGAGACAGAGCCAGAGAGAGATGCAGGGCAGACAGTAATGATAATAGCTACAGTAACATTAATTTAAGTAAACTGTGGTACAATATATAGTATGTATTAATATATAACAGTATATGTACGTGACAATAATAATCATATGTGTATGATAACAGTAGAAGTATGATTAATAATAACAACAGCAGTAGGAGGCATCAGGCAGGACCACGGCAGCAGCCCAACCACCACACACCATCCAGGCGTAGCTGCAGTACGAGGGAATCTGTGAGACAGTGGAGCACAAAGACTTCGGAGAAGAGGCCGAGTTAGTGACATGCAGTAATAGGATGTGAATGTTAGCAAGTGAAGAAGAACCAGCGGAGACAGAGAGAAAGGGCTTGGTGTATTATAGGGGGTCCCCCAGCAGACTAGGCCTAT